GGTGGGGGACTACCCTGCTCTCCTGGTGCAGATGCAGCTCTCAGAGCCACCAGCACCAGATAGCACTGTGAGACGTGTGTGACTGGAAGACTGAGAACAGTTGTTCTTGTATTACATGTCATGTATTGAAGGAGGCTATACGAACTCACCTGGACTCTTCATTGATTCAGCAAGCATTTATTGAGTGCCCGGCACACACTGACGTAGACAGTGGGGCTTCAGAAACCAGTGAAACTGGACAAGAAAGGTTCAGAGCAGCATTATTCATAACAGCCAGAAAATGCACAAGTCAACTGATGAATTAGCAAAATGTGTTTTTTCTTGAGAAGTAGGATATTTTTTTTTTTTTTTTAGCCATTAAAGAGGAATGAAACATGGTATGGATGAACCTGGAAAATATGCTCAGTAAAAGAAGCCAGATGCAAAAGACCGCATATTGAACAATTTCAGTTATATAAAATGTCCAAAATAGGTAAACCGTGGAGCTAGAAAGTACATCAGTGGTAGCCACAGTCTGGGGAAAGGGGGAGGTGGAACCAGCTGCTAATAGCTGTGGAACTTCTTTTCTGGGTGGTAGAACTCTTCTGGTTGTAGATATGATGGTTATGTCACACACACAGTGAATACACTGAAAACCACTGAGGTACACACCTGTGTTGTTTGTATTATACCTCAGTTTTAAGTGTTAGAACTAAAAGGGGTCAAAGCACATTTTCTCTCTTGAGGAACTGGACAAACAGGCCCTGAGATTTATACATTACAGGTAGTTAGTGAATACCACCCGATCAGTACACTGGTAGTATAAACCCAGAAGCATGCAGTTGGAGAGCTTAACTTCTTTTTGTATGATCAGGGTCTTCCTGGGACCAGCGTTGTGGCATTGCAAATAAAGCTCCTACCCGGCATGCTGGAATCCGATAAAAGTGCTTATTTGATTTCCAGTTATTCCATTTCTCTTACAACACCGTGCATATGCACTTGGGAAAACAACAGAAGATGACCCAGGTGGTTGGGACCCTGCTACCCATGTGGGAGAACTGGGTGTACCTACTGGGTTTGATACCATCTGGGAAGTAAACCAGAAGGGAGATATCTCTTTGTCTCTCCCTCTGTAACTCTGACTCACATAAATAAATCTTACAGACAAGTCTTCCCAGAGTTGTTTTCTGTCATTTAGAAGTAGATGGGATCTGGGGTTGAGCTACTCAGGTTTAATTGCTTACTCTCTATTCAAGGTCCCTGGGCTTTAGGGATGAGGTTATTCTGCTAAGGATCTACACAGGTTAAAGTCCTAGGTTAAACCCCACAGGTTTAAAAGTCTGTGTACTGGTCAGGGTCCCCCGGATGAGGAAAAACAACCTCCCCCTAGGACCAGTAGAAGCCACTGATAACTAGGCTGGTACAGAGTTGGCTCCGGCACTGGGCCGGAGCTGGCTTTGCTGCCACAGTCAGGAACTCAGAGAATTAGAAATCCTATGGGCTGTAGCTGCTGACAGGGAACCACACTGCTTCTGCCAGAATTAGGAAGCTCCTGCTGCAAAACTGGGAACCCCCTGTGACAGCTGTTTACCCTGGAGGCAGGCTGCTCCTGCTGCCACTCTCCACCAGCAGTGTGTCCTTCATGCTGTCTCTTTCCCCAGTTAAAGTGCCTCAACTCCAACCTCCAGCAGATGCTGCAGGAGCTTAGATGCAAGAGGGTATGAGGCTGGTAATTTCCCAGCCCCTGCAAAATGCAGAGAACAATAGCGATGAACCAGGTACACAGAATCTTCCATTAGATCCTTTATGAAATTTGTGTGGAGACCCAAAATTTAATTTTGTGCTAGATCTGCCACATCTTAGGCCTATAGATGGTTGCCTGGTGGGGGAGGGGAGCACACCGCCCAGCAGTGACTTCTTGGTGTCTCCAGATTCATGACAAGTTATTGCAAAGCCAACCAATTCTTTCAACTCATTGATTTCTGAATTTTTCACTTATGTCGAGTGTATTCACTTAACAAGTATTGGAGATGCAAAATATAAAAGTCAAAGTATTGGCCTTAAGGAAATACAACCAGACAGTTGAACCTAATTGGCATCTGGCAAACAGGGGAAGGAAGACATGGAATGGACAGACCAGGACCATGTGTGTGTGTGTGTGTGTGTGTGTGTGTGTGTGTGTGTGTGTAGAGTATTTCAGAGAGGAGGCAGTTTAAGAGCTGAGGGGGGTGGCAAAGGACAAATAGAGGGTGAGAGGACACAGATCGGCATGTACAAAGTGCTGTGTTCATGCATGGGACGGAATAAGGAGCGTGAGCTGCTGGAAGTGAGGCTGAACAGATGTTGAACAAGAGAAACTTCTGTGAAGCTGCTGAGGAAGAAGTCCTGTCTTCTCAGGACGGAGAGGCTATATTAATAAACATACATCCGGCCAATGAGATGTTGGATAAGGAATGGGCTGGAGCAGTGGGAGGGGAGTGAAGCAGAGGCCTCAGAGCCCTTGAGGCAGTGCCTGAGCTGGGGCACAGTGGAGTCCTCTATTGGTTTTTCTCAAAGGGTTGCATATAACATGATTTCCTTGCAAATCACTTGAAGGCATGTGAAACTGGGTGTTTTACATTATGCTTCTTGTTTTGGGCTGAATGGTTTTTGTATTATTTGCTTTAAAAAAAAAAAGCATAATTAGAGCCAAAACGTCATTTAAATTGAGGTGTATTGATGTTTTTCAGCTAAGGCTGCCTGGGGTGAGCACACAGAGTTAATGGCATTACGCTTGAGTTACATTTGTTGACAATCAAAATTGTGCTGGACTCAAGATTATTGAGGTTTCCAGTAGTATACTACTTTACTTCAGGAGAAGCTTTTGCATTTGGTTATGCCAGAATTTCTAAGGCTCTTAACTTGTGATTCTGGAATAAAATTCTTGATTCAAACAGTAATGATTGCACATAAGGAATCAAGTAATGTGTACTTTGTAACGTTCCCATTTGTAGAATTCATAGAGTAAAGGAAATTGCTGGCCCTTCATTCAGAAAAACAGTGCATCATGTGTGTGATTAGGCATTTGCAACATTTTCTCTAATCGCCAAGTAGACTAAATTGTTTTTGTTTTATTTGTTTTTGCATAAAAACTCAACCAAAATTTGATTGAACTTATGTGGTTTTTAAAAGTAATTGAATTTCTCCCCTTTTTTTTGTGACCTGCAGGAGATATGGATTTAACCGCCAAAGCAAAGCAGGGAAGGTAAGAAAGGCATAGATACTGGGAGAGAATACATGACATTCAAAGGCAGTGGCAAACTTTCCCCACTTCTACCTGTTCTGAGCTTGATAAGCTGCACAGCAGCTCCCTGGAAGCCCCGCAGGAGCACGATGTCAGGGCTGAGGGTCACCCGTCCCTGGTCCCTGGCCACGCCTGAGTGAGAAGGATGTGCCAGGCCTCTGCATCTCCATCCTGCTGCCTCCGTAGACTGGGTACCAAAGCCAGGGATTCATCCTGGGACTAGAAATCAGTGGCCATGGCAGGTCATGTGCCTAGGGTCTACCAAGGTCAGACCTGCAGTTTAGAAAATGTCACAATGAAATCTTTACTCTCAGGGTCCCAGAGCCTGCCCGATCTGGTGAGAGACTGTGGACAGGCAGCAAGATAGAACCGGGTGACCACAGTGGGGGCTTGTAGGAGTTACTCATTTTTGTGTTTGTTAGTGGTCTTAACTGCTGGCAGTAATGCAAGCACTTAAATCTTACTGTGTCAAACCCTTACTATATTCCAGGCCTCTGATTAAGGCTCTCCATGGATTTTTTTTTTTTTTTTCATTTACTTCCCTCTATGTAGAAGGTTCTCATTTTTGTTCTTTGGGTCAGAAAACTACTGGGAGAGTCTCCGTGATTCATCTAAGGTCACATAGCCTTAAGGAGCCAAAATAAGAATTTGAGCTCCGGTCCACCTGACTGCAAAGTCTGTGCTCATGACCATTGTGGTAAACACCCAGTGCCAGCCACAGTGGTCATTGGTCGGGTAGAGTCCTACAGCTTGAGATCTTTTCATAAGCTCTGCTCCTGTTCCTGCCAGTCCCCAGATTTCCTTGAATAGGACACATTCCTGCATTTCCAGCTCCCCAGTCCCTCTGTGCTTCCCGTGGTGGTTGCTGTCCCAGTCCTTGCCGGGCAGCCTCTGTAACCAGAGTCATGTTCTAAAGCTAGGCTGACTGAACCTCCCCTCCACTCTGTGACTTTAATAATTTAGTTGTGTCTTACTTCATAGCATCTAGTAAATGGGGGCATTCATTGTACCTACCTGGAAGAAGTTTTGTGAAAATTAAAATGTAAAAGATTTAGAATTGTCCAATGTGTAATAAGAATTTAATAAGCATTATGTATTGTCTGTATGAGTTCATTGGCAGTCAGCTACATATTGATTGTGATATGATCATCTTTGATTTTCACTTTTGCCTTTTCATTCAACTACATAATCATTTCCTCCAGAGCAGGATTTTCTATATCTGATTATGACATGCAATAGTTTGATGTATACAATTTAATTTGATATATAATTTAAGTCTGAAAAGAAGGTGTATGTGACTATACTCTGAAATAATGCATTTTGGTTATGGCAGGAAAAACCATGAGATGCCCATAAATAGTGTTCCAGTTGGGCTTGTCATGTTAGATGGCACACTTGAAGATTTATTTATTTTTATTGGAAAGTCAGACATACAGAGAGGAGGAGAGACAGAGAGGAAGATCTTCTGTCCGATGATTCACTCCTCAAGTGACCACAATGGCCGGTGCTGCACTGATCTGAAGCCGGGAACCAGGAACCTCTTCTAGGTCTCCCACATGGATGCAGGGTCCCAAAGCATTGGGCCATCCTTGACTGCTTTCTCAGGCCACAAGCAGGGAGCTGGATGGGAAGTGGAGCTGCTGGGATTAGAACCGGCGCCCATATGGGACCCGGCGTGTTCAAGACAAGGACTTCAGCCGCTAGGCCACTGTGCCGGACCCAGAAAGCACACTTGAGTTGAAAGGCTGTCCCCTGCAGCTCTGTCCAGCAGCTAAGGTCTGAGGATGTTTCATGGGCAGTGGGAGACTGTAGAAAAGCATTCTAGAGTTGGGATGATGCAAGTAGAATATCCTGTTGTCCTTTCCCATGGCTCTAACTCCAGTGCTCAGCTCTTTATATCTTCCCTTCCAGGCTGAGGACAAGAAAGCTACGCTTCCTGCAGGTCTGTCAGCTGCAGAGAAAGCGGATGCCCATGAGGAAGAAGAGCTTCGAGCAGCTGAAGAGGTGCATGGTTGATAGAGGCTCTCTGAGGTTTCCGTTTAAGTCATTTGCTGCTGGGAGGATGGGGTGGGAGTGTGGAGATGTGGGAAATAACTATTGAGTTTCACCCTCAAGACCCATGTGTACCCGCTGCTCCAGCGCTGTGGCCGGAATGCTCACTGCTGCCTCTCCCCATCCCTCTTTCAGCAGCGTATCCAGTCACTGATGACCACAATGACCGCCATGGCAAATGAGGAGGTGAGAGGGCAGCCACTGTTGGGGAAGGGGCCAGGTAGTACTTGACACCAGCAACATCTGGCTCTGTTTTGAGGGACCTTCTGCCACAGCACCCAGCTTCTTCAGGCTGCTGTCCTCAGCACCCAGGGCTCCTGGTGCTTAGGGTCTGTCTCCAGGAAGCCTTTCTAAGTATATAGTGCTGCTGTCCACAGGGACCTCCAGCATGAGGGCCTCCCTACAGGGATGACTCCTAGGGGTGGAGCACCTGGGGTCACCATAACCCATGCCAAAGGAGCCGTTGCCACTGCTTCCTTCCCACGCTGCTGTGGAGGGAAGTGAAATACTGTATTTATGTTTGCTCCTTCTACAGCTCAAGCCCTGTGTAGGGGATTAGCCACATGTTGTGAAGGGATTGCTCCTTTTGAAGGTGGAAAAGGACCAGATAATCAGGATTAGTTGGGGCTTCTGAGATTGCTTGTTGTGTCTCATTTGCTGTTTTGTACCAAAGTCCTAGCACCCCCCAAGGCCCCTGCAGGCTCTCCTTAGTTGACCCACAGGAGGAGTGATGGGGATGGGGTCCTGAGGATACAGAATGGTTTGCCAGGAGGAAGCAGGCATGTGGAGCATCTAGTACAGTCACAGGAATAACTTGGGAAGAAGCAGCATGAGGCATTTGTTCTAAGGCTTATTGCTTCCTTGTTGATGAAAACGTGGACAGACTCCAAGTTAGTGTTTAATTCTGAGAGTGTCATCCACAGTGTGACAGCGCAGCTCATTCAGCTTTTCTTGTGCTATGAAAGACAAGGCCCCTTGGAGATCCCTCCAACTGAACTGCTGATCTCAGAACCCCAACCATGAAGAGACTATGTCAGCCAGTAGATTCTGAATAGATTTCATCGCGATTGGAACAGCGAGATTGGCAGCAATTCAGAACTGTTGAACTATCAAAACTGCTTGAGCAGGACCCTCGGAGTGCGCCTCACATTGGGGACCTGGGATGGGTGGGAGGCTGGGTGGGTTTTTTTTCCTTTGTTTCTCCCCTGATCCCAGATACAGGGGAAAAAATGATGATGTTAGTGTGGAAACAATGGTATTACCCACTTTCCTGTAGCCCTTGACCCTTTGTACCCTAATCAACTAAGTAAGATTGTTAAAAAAATAAATAATAATAATAAAAAAAAGAAAGACAAGGCCTTGACAGCACACCTTCTGTGTGATTGCAGAGCCGTCTGACTGCCAGCTCCGTGGGCCAGATCGTGGGCCTCTGCTCTGCTGAGATCAAGCAAATTGTGTCCGAGTATGCAGAGAAGGTAGGTGACCCCAGCACTACAGTGTGTGCCTCAAGGAATGTCCCAAGGATTGGTTCTCGAACTTCCCATCCCCTTCGCCTAGCAAGGAAGGAGTCTGCTTATAATTCATCAGCATGTTAGCCCACAGGGTACATGCACTGGCCGCCACACAGACAGTAGGATTTGTCCATAGCTGAATTAACTTTCTTCTGCAGTGCCCATGTTTGTATGAGTATTAAGAGAAAACTTGACTAGGGACAGTTGTCACATCTGATAGCCTTGAAGCCTGAGATGTGTCACAAGCATTTTTCCTTCTTTTCGGCTTCTTACAAGTCAGGCTCATTGCAGCAATGGGACTGAGGAATGTAGTTTTTTTGCCATATAGTGGATAAATCCCATAACTCAACCAAGTCCAAGGCAGAAATTACTATTCTTTATTAAAAGGACTTTCAGGAACAGAAGCCTGAAAGTCATATTTCAGCATTAGCTTTTTCCTTCCATCCTAAGAATAGGCAAAAGGACCTTGACTGTTTCCAGGAGGCAGTCATCAGTCATCTGCACATAACTGATTCTGGTCTGGCTGAGATGTTAAGTATCAGTGAAGTCAGATTTACAGAGCGTTGTTTCACATCGCTCTTTCTCCTACCATACTCAGTCCGCCCACTTAAAGTGTTGATGCCGGTTGAAACTTCCACCTTTCCTCTTCTGAGAAGCCTCAACAACTGATTAGTTCTGCCCTGACCCTCTGTGCAGTATTCTGAAGTGATGGCCGAAGAGCGTCACCTGGAATCCAGAGGGATGATGTACTGTAGGCACGGCAGGCTGCCATCTCCCACCACACCAGGGTCTTCCGTCTTCCTCAGACATGTCTGGATGTTCCTTTGTTTCCTTACCCGCCTGGAGACACTTCTCAGTGTGGGCTTTCAAACCCACTCTTGCAGAATCCAGAGTGCCCACCTGAGAATTACGACACCAATCGAAATAGCATTTCAGACTTGACCAGAAAGGAAATTAAGTTATCCTGAGGTGCAGATGCACTTGAAAGGCTTGAAGGCGCAGTTGTAGGGAGAGGGACTAAGTCAGTGCTCAGCACACACCTGAATGGCAAGTGTGTGGGTCTTTCCCTGCCCTTGAGTTGCCACAGCACTGCTCAGCCCTCTAGAGTTTGCACTCTAGTGTGACTATGCATTGCTGTTTCTGTAGGGTCCTTGTGTTTTGTTTTTGGACTTGCCCACTGAAAGCAGATAGAAGCTTAAATTATTAAACACAGAGGTACTGAGCGCAAATCAGCAGGCAGGTTCCTTCTCAACCCTCTCCCTGCCCCAGGTCCTGATTCTGCATTTTGCATGTCCACTTTGCCTGCTTAGCATCTGAACTTTCTCTTTCTCACCCTTGTACAGTAACCTCTGCCCAGTTCTTATGGCTGAATTTTACTGTCCACCCTGTACTAGTCTCAGTCTCCACCCTACCCTTCCAGATAAGAGTAAAGTTAGAATTTTGACTGGCAGCAATGTCAAATTTCCTAAAAACAGATGTAGTTAAACTCATAGCGAACTGGAGCTCTCTTACTCAGTGCTGAGTTGTTTGCGTTTTCACTGCATGAGCTATGTAGTGTTAAAGCTGATGGCTTTTAAAACTAAGTTATCTTTAAACCCATTTCTGTATCCCAATTATTATATATTTACATGTTATCTTACAGTCAGTTGTAAATCTAGCAGGTGGCTAGAAGACAGTAGGATAGCACAGCCTTTTCAGTGGTGCCCTGACTGCCATCTGTCCCCCTACTTCCCAGCTTTGGGACGATGCTGGTCATTTAAACTGCCTGTGCTCTGGTGTCGCCATCACAAAGTGAGGGTAATGTTGCTTTTGTTTGCAGTGCACTAGCAGACGGGACTCTTCATATCTGTGTGTTATGTGTCCACACACTCACGCTCGTGGCTTTCAAATAAGCTAATGCTGTTAGTCCAGCATGACCTAGCAGTTCAAGCTTTGATCATTGGCTGTCTAACCCACTGCTGTAGTAACTGTAGCTCTTCGGACCACCAAGAGAACTGATGATTTCATTTTTCTGTTTACTCCATTTTACCTGCAAGTTGTCTGTTCTAGACGTTAGCGTTTTAGCTTAGACTGTGGTATTTTTTTCATATAAATTAAACCAGCATTCTATATTTACATATTTACCACAGAGATGGCAAAATTTCTCAGGTGCTTCATTTTTTTTCCCATTACATGCAAAGCATTTGTATGTAAATTGGTCCATCTTTTTCTTTGTTATTTCTATATGTCTGATAAAGTAGCCCATTATCTTTTACTCATCTTTAATTCTTTAACCTATGTACAGTTTATTTAGTCTAAAGTGCAAATCAGGTTTTTTTATTCTTGTAACCATTTATCAAGCAAGTTATACTCATTTTGGAATACCTTATTATTACTAAATGGTTAAATAACTCCATATTTTATTGGTTTTCCCTTCTAAGGTTTATCCAAAAGGTGAGGAAATTACAGATAGACACGGGCAGTGTTGAGGGATAAAATGGTCCAGGCGAAGAAAGATGAGAGAGAAATGTTTCTACTTTCCACCTTGGGTGTAGGAGAAAGAGATTGTTCTCTCTATTGTCGGGCTAGGAAGGGAAGTGGTTACATGATACCACCTTCAGGTCAGGGGGCAGGGGTTTTTTGACTGACAGGTAGTTTATTGGGATTACATAAAGTGGGGGAGGTGTGGCTTCCCACTCATGACCCTAAACTAGCTACCTAACTGTTCTGTTTCATTACCCTCTTAAAGATTTCCAACCTTTGATCTTAAAGATTTGCTGAATGATGCAGATTATCACATCTTCTGTAACTACCTCATGCTGATTTGGAACATCTATTTCTGACTAATGAAGAAAAGGGACAAGATAATTTTTGGAGGATAAAGTGTGAAAATGATTTTGTGACCAAAGAGTAAATTAAGCAGGCTGCTTAGTACAAGTGTTTGGAAAGTCAGCAGGCCTTGGGATATAAAAACTAGGTTAAAAAAAAGTGCAGACTGCTTTCATTTGTAACGTTCCCAAGTTCATGTGATAATTAATCCATGTATCAGAGCATGCCTCTGACATATGTAACTCAATTTATTTTGGTTCCTGTGAAAACAGCGAAGAGGAAGGTGAAGAAGCTTCCAGATAGAGATTTCATAGGCTCTGGGCCAAGTAGCTCCATCTCCCTCTGATTCCAAGGGTAGCACCCTTCCCAGAATGGGCTTAATTAGGCACTGTTGTGCTTTTTGGTGTTGATGTCTGATATTCTTACTGCATCATGGCCTTCATTTGTACAGGGAAGAAGAATCTAGTATTAATATTTGCAGAATACCGGAAGCCTGATTGCATGAAAAATGCTCCGTCCTCTGTCACCTAAGCCTTTAGGAGCCTGCAGGGCAGGGAGGGTCTGCCTCTGATGTCATATATGACCATTTTGACTACTTTAATATTAGCCTAGCTGTTAATTCATTGCTCAGCTACCATCTCCCTAAGACAGGCTTTTAGAGCATTTTGTGGAGCTAGAGACACAGATCTGCCTTGGGGAATCAGAGAACTTTCTCTTTTGATGTTGTGTCATTCAGTTCTCGAAACAGTGTGCTGCCCCCTTGCGTGGCATCTTCCTCTTCAGGTCTTCATTATCACACTACCCGTGCGCGTTTGAAGCTTTCTGCTTAAGCGAATGTGAGTCCCATTTACCTCTACTCTGTAACCTCAGAGCCTCAACAAGCACCTGCCAGGCTCACAGAAATGTTTTTTTCCACGTTGCACATGGGGAAAATGAAAAAAAAAAAAACACCTGGAATTACAGGTTAAAGAGGTTTAGTAACTTGTTCAATACCATACAGCAAGAAAGCTGCCCGTCTGGTTCCAGGACTGTCTTTGAAAGCAGTTTTCTTTGGCCAGGTTGGAAGCTACTTAGGGAGAAGCAGGAATAGCCTCCATTTTCATCCTTAATGTCCGCCTTCCAGGCTTTGCAGTGACCGTGCCTCCTTTAGACTCTGCCACTATCTGAGTGCCCATCCTGGGCCATGTGACATAGGCCGGGGCATCCTGGCAACCAACCACAGAAACAAGGAAAAGTGGAAGTGATGCAGTCCTGGCACTCACTCACAGCCACAGCTGTGCTGCTGAAAATGGCAGAATGCTTCCAGAGTGTCTGGGTGGCTTCGTGTCGGCGGAGGTGCACATCCCAGTGTTCTCATTCAGCTCTCTAACCGAAAGCCCGCGGCGTCGTCTTCCCTTCCAGAGTGACATGCATTTAGGTCATCAACGGACTTATTTCTGGAAGGAATATTTTTTTTCCCCAGTAGATTTTGGAAAATTACCTATCCAGCAATTATGAAATACTGGCAGTGCTGCTTCTGACCTTTTCACTCAGAGAACCCTGCTCTGGCAGTTAGCCGCTTTTTATGTTGGAAGTTAAATTGGGAGAAGTCTCATCAGGTATTCAGAGCCTACGCGTGGGCAAGGTTGTATGTGCGAAAGCCAGAGCTGAGAAGGCAGACGATGACATTTGACCAGAACACGTTACTTTTTACTCTGCTTTGTGATGCAACTGGCAGGGACTGTCTCTTCACTTCTGTCACTCAGTATAGCCTGGGCAGTGTCTTATAATGAGAGGACCTCTGTCCAGTAGGATGTGTAGATTGCCTTTATCAGCCTTCAGCACTAGGAGTTGTAGGGGCTGCAGCAGCCTTAGCACATCCCTCTGCCTTTGTTTTTTTTTTGTCATCCTTTTCTCTTCGTGGTTGTTGCCTTAAAGGCTTTCTACAGACTATAAAAGCCTTAAAGCTCCCTCCTCTTGCCTTCATGTATTTTCCTAAGGAAGCACTCTTCTTTTTTACCATGCCTTGGTCCACATGCTGCTCCCAGGCTGGTTGTGGCCAGGAGTTGTGCCCTGAGATTGGCAGCTTCTTTGAACTAGGGATTAATGGGAGAACATGATTCCTCCAAAGGAAGTGGTTGCTGTTACTAAACCTAAGTATGCTGGGCACACACAGC